TTAGTATAATTAATTGCGACGTTTCGGGACTAGATCGTTCATCAGTATTTTCAGCCAAAAACAATTTTTTAATTAAATAAAATTGATGATAATGATTATCAAATATTTACAAGAACAAGAGAGTGGGTTGTGAATCTTATCTTTAGGAAATGTATAATAATATTAGAAATTGAGAAGCAAAATTTATTTACTTGCAATATTGATCTAAAAATATGCATCTTTTTAAAAGCGTTTGGATAAAAATTATTGAAGTTTTAAAAATTTTGTCTTCATTTAGTAAATGGTTGTAATGTAAGTTACCAAGTGAAGTCAAAATTTTTAAATATTGTTCAATAATTCTGTTTACAAGCGCTTTTGACAAAAAAAATTAGTGATAGATTTATAAAACAGTATATCGCTGGTAACTAATTTTTTGCTCATCAATTTTTATTATTTTTCTACACATTTTCTTTAAAGAAAAGGAACACAATGCACTTCTTTATAAATTTTTTTTATATTCTGTAATCAGCATAATCAAAATGCTGCCCTAACACTGAAATGAGAATGGACTCATTGATCTAATGAAATTTGTTATAAAAAAGCATGAATAATTCGAAAATATTTTGGATTTTTCAGAAAAGGGGGCGCTCCATTAATCACAAAAAGTTTTTAGGGGAAAGGGGGAATTTGACATAAAATCACGAAATATCACGTGGGGAGGGGTATCCTAAGATATCACGTGTATTTATTTCTTATTTGATTTTTTTTTTAAGATCGGAAATATTTTCAACAAAATTCAAAAATTTTACAATTTTCTCGTAACTAAAAATATAAGTGATGTTTCGTGGGGGAGGGGGGTAATTTTGAACAACACCATATATCAATGGGGGGGGATGGGGGATCCAAAAATCCTTAAGAAATAAAATAATAAATTTCGATAGTTTTCATTTAAATTTTAATACAAATGCATATTTCTTGAAATATAAAAAATGCTATTAGAAAGAATTAGTTATTTATATTGCATTTAATTTTGTTTCCATTTTTCAAATTTTATCGCCCTGAGCTCTAGCCTCGACTGTAAATCCACCTCTGTATATATAGTACGTAAATAATTAAAATATATATATATATATATATATATATATATATATATATTTTACGTTACTAACGTTGCCCCAAATCAACTAGAAAATATATTGCATTTTAATATACGAAAAACTACACGTATATCACATTTATCCAAGTTCATTGACCTATCCCTGCAGATGAACAAGTCAACGTTCACGAACTAGACCGAAACCACACCCTCCGACATTCCAAAGTGCGAGGGTGCAAGATTCTATGAGGGTGTATAATAGCGCCATCTTGATTTTTGAAACACATCAGACACAAAGTAAAATTTATTAGAATGAGGTTAAAAGAAAATCATTGCACATACATCGCAAATTACCTTGGCAAAAGAACTCATTAAATAAAAGAACAATACTTTCATTGCACACGCGATCGAAAGTGCATATATTAAAATTAAAGATATGCTTATGAATTATAACGTGAAATATTCTCATTATAAAAAACTAGAAATTGCAGAACATAGAAAAGGGCTAAATATTTTGTAGATAATATATATAATAATCAGAAGTACAAATTGTGTCTATTACAATTATTGTATTCCGGAAAGTTTTGGCATACGACTACCAGTAAATTCAATATCTATTTACCATATTTGTACCAAATTTTACACAAAGAAAATTACCAATTCAACTCCAATGACATTGGACAACAAGTTGAAGCAAATAGAAATATCTTAATAATTTTGCATAAATTGCAGCAGGCCTGACCTACTTTTCTTTAACTAGTTTTACAGTGTGTTCATGTAAGTTTACACTAGGAAATAATCGAAATTTGTTCCTGATTTGAACGTTGCTATATTATTGAGCCTTGAGTTGGCATAATCGTCAAGTAATGAGAGCATGGCGGCCTTAACACACTTTTGCTAGCGCGATTTGAATCTGAAGGGACTTGCAGATAGAACCATAGTTCACAACTTGAATAACTTTATATAAAAACTTTATATTTTGATGTTGAAATATATTATTAAAATATTACAATATAAGTAACTTTGCAGCCAAATAGTTGAAATAAAAAGCAGTAAATTAATGAACTATTTATCATGTACGTTTTAACACTATATGTTTCCTTCATCACAACAAATTCACACCAGGAAAAAACAAAACATTTTTAAGGACATTGTTTCAAAAAAACAAACCAGAAAATAAAATATTAAACTAAAAGTTGAATAAAATTATGTAGTAGCCACATGACTAACAAACTTAGAATAAAAACAAGTTTCTAATTTTGTTAGTCATGTAACTACTACATAATTTTATTGTTTTAGTTTAATATTTTATTTTTTGGTTCATTTCTTGTCTTAAAAAATTATGTTTTCAGATTTTTCTTGGTTGAAATTGTTAAACAGCTGAATGATAGATAACACACATACAGTGGCGAAAAACATACAAAATAAATGGTTTAATAATTTAATGTTTTCTATTTCGACAAGGGAGCAAAAAAAAAACATTTAAAAAAAATGTTTCAATGAAATGAAAAAAAAATCATAAGCAATTAAAGTACTTTTGAAAAAAATTAATACCAAGTTTATTGTACGAGTACAATAAACACAAAGAATTATTTATTATTAAAACATAAATCCGCAAAGAATACTAGTTTTACATTAAATAAAAATATTTTATTACATAAATTGATCTACCGAAACATTTGTTATTGTTAAAATTGTATAAAATGATTATATTAAAATAACAAATTAACAAAGAAATACGTAAATACGATTTTCATCATCTGACTGATGTAAAATACCTATTAGTCATTGATTAGAATGTTTGCCAAAATAAATTAAACGTATTGGTGTAAATATGTGAATTGCTTTCTTAATTCGATATAGCATTTTGATAAAAAAATGCTTAACCCCTAATGCAGTGGCTTCCAAACTTTTCGTTCCGCCTCCCCGTTTTATTGAAAAAATAATGCTAATGCTCTCAATTTTTCTAACAATCTAATTTTTTAAATAATCAACTGATATAATTCATTTAACCTGCTACAAATACAAAATGATATAAAATATAATGTCAAATTATACATAATTATTTGTGGATTGTTATTATATCATTTTAACGTTTTTAGTTTTTGTGGGAATAGTTCTTTGAAAGCAGCTGTGTGCCCCCCTGAGAAATCGCGTCCCACAGGTTGGAAGCCACAGACCTCATGATATTACAATAATTTGGACACTATTATGAAATATATAAAACTTGGATTATCAAATAGCATAGAGTAAAATTTTGTTAATTTGTTAGTTTATTCCCACAGTAAAATATTTATAATAAATCAAAAATAAATAATTACGACCATATTGCATATGAATGAAGTTGCTATGCACTTTACAAGCAAATGACTTCGGGCTCTCAACTCAAAAATTTTGGCGTTCATTGAAGCGTCACACTTTAGCGCTATGTATATTTTATATAGGTTATAAATATCTTTCTACAAAAAATGCTAAAATAATTAGTAGCTTTAAGGAGGTTGGAAATTTTGTTACACGCTAGTAATTATTTAACAAGCACTACCATATATTCTTTAAATGATGAATTACTATTGGCATAAAATAGTTTTACTACGTGGATGAAATAATTGATGCTACTCAGTTTGACTTTTAGAAATGCACGCGTTAAGTGAAGATATAATTTACATCTAGCACATTTTACGAAAAACATGATGTGAACTGGTTAATAATAATTTCAAGGCCGTAACACTGCACTTTACGCCGATGCATCCAATGTATAAATTATTAAATAGAATGATTTAACTTTCTTACGGAAATGAAAGCCAGAATCTCAAACATCACCCATGAGTAATGGCTAACAATGGAGTCAATTATAAAGACTACATATATCGATATGTAGTAAAAATAGTAGATATATTAAATAAATGTGTAAGATAACTAAGATTGGCTATGGATGCGACATTTTAATGGAAAAAGCCAACCCATCATGACGCATGCACAAGACCAAACCCGAAACCCTCGATAAACTCTAAAATCGAAGCTTAATTATTCACATCACAAATGATCACAATAGATTGCCACTTACCGAAGATTCTTTAGCACTTATTTATAATTATACTAAACTAGAAATTTTAATTAAACCTTAAACTAAACATATAGGAATTTTTAACACTTACGGGCCGATGCTTGTTGTTACAGAAGCCTCTTCGTCACTGATCGGCTAATGTCGTTTGCTTCCGGAAGCTGTAGTGTGGCCAAAATGGATGAAATAAAGTTACTTTTTCGAATTTTAGAATTATAATTTGAAAATATTTAGGATTACACAAATAGAACGAACACAATTTTAAATGGTTAAAAATGGCAACTAAAGTATTAAAAAAAATGAATAAAAGTTATTAGGTGAGATTGACAGGAAACAAATGATTGAAGGAAAGGGGCATCTACTGGCGTTTGTCGAATGCAGCGCAGTGAAGTCTAACTTCAAGCATGACACGTCTTTGGTTTGGCGCGCAATTTGAAATCAAGAAAATTAACTAAATTTAAATATTGTCCATTTTTATTTTCAAACTTTAATTATTATCAAATGACCTGTATATTTGAAATGATCGCCATAAATCTAATTGTACATACTTATACCAATATAATACAGATATTTTAATATATTTGCTGTAATGTGAATAAAAAAAGCAAGAAATAAAAAATTGAACAAAAATCCTAGAAATTGAACAAAATAATTGTTATGCAAAAGTTGATATATTGATGATTATATGCTTCACCTAATTTATTTTTATTAAATAACGTTTAATATATCATGTTTGTGAATTAACCTCTTCGAAATGACATTTGTTACTTATTCGTTAATGTTATAATTTATAGTTATAATTGACCATTTCAAAATGATAATAAGAATCTGATTATTGATTTTATCTTCCTTCATTCACTTTTTATAGCAATTACTGTCTCTTCTAATTATTCTACATGAACTTTGTAAAATTATTAGTAAAACGTGGAATAACCTCAAAACTATAATTTCTATAAATATATTATAAAACAATACAATACAATATAATTAAAAAATGTCGATTGAAATATCAAAATCCAAGAAGAAAAAATGCGAAAGAAAACGAATACGTGCCCAACATTTGATAGAAAATACAACAAATATTACTTTTTGCACTACACCAACTCAGGTATGAAAAATAACAATATTTAACTATATGTAAATAAACAATACTGTTTTATGTAGAATAATTCAACATTTTTATTGATATAATAATTTATTTTCACATACATTTTTAACAAAACATAATGTTTATTAAATAGATACAATCTTCTTAAATTTGTGTTAAATGAATCTTTTCTTTGTAAGAAGGAAACATATTAATTAATTATTAATTTACTAATTTCATGTTTGATTTTAATAAAAAAAAGACAATAGTCTGTAAGCATTTGAACTTTTGATTTTCGAGGAATGTTCAATAATTTTATACTTCAATTTCTTGCAGAACATAGTAATTTGCAATGCCGGACTTGTGTCAGGTTTAACTCGAGAATGTATTGTTGAAAATTTTTCTAAATATGGAAATATAGCAAAAATTGTTATGGTACCAGGTCAATCGTTTTGTTTTATTCAATTCCAAGACGTCTCTAGTTCTGAGAAAGCTATGAATGAAGTAAATGGCCTTTTAACTATTGGACAGAACGATGGAGTTGTATACCTTTCCTATGTAAATGCTTTACCAGATTCTAAAACTGATGACGAGTACCATATGATACCTCCAAGATTGAAAATTATAAAAGATATAGTCACCACACAAGAAGAAATTAATTTACTATCACTTATTGATTGGGATAAAAATTGTAATGATGAAATGAAACACCGTAAAGTCAAACATTATGGTTTTGAGTTTTATTATGATACAAACAATGTAGATAGAAATAAACCTCTAGAAGAAAAAATTCCTGAACAATGTGATATCATTTGGGAAAGGTTAAAGGAAATGAAAATTGATGTACCTCATAAAGTAGATCAACTAACTGTTAATATGTATAAACCTGGACAAGGCGAGTTTATTAATAAACAACAATAGTATTCCTATTATAATGCTAAAATAGTTAATTGAATCTTTAGAGCACCATCTATTCCATCTATTAAATTTTAAATCTTGTTTTCATAATTTAATCTTTTTGTGTGAATAGTATTTATACTAAATAAACATATTGCTTTATTAACTACATTAGTTTCCTAGATCTACATTTTGATCACTAAATATCCTTTATATCAATATTATGTTCTTTTTAGTTTCTTAAATATTTTGGCTACATCAACTTTAAGTTTAAAAATTTAATTCAATTAAAGTTCTTTTTAGGAATACCACCCCATGTTGATACACATAGTGCTTTTGAGTCCCCAATATATTCATTGTCTTTAGGATCTGATGTTGTTATGGAATTCCGAAACAATTTAAATCAACATTATTCTGTACATTTACCACAAAGAAGTCTTTTAATAATGGATAATGAATCTAGGTATGCATGAATAGTTCAAAATTTTATTGTGATGATTAATAGAGAAACTCATTTGCAAAATGCTATTTAAATAGTTATTTCAATTTTATTAAATATCAGCTTGATTACTTAGATATAATTGGACACATGGAATTACGCCCAGAACAATGGATGTAATACAAACCACAAATGGTCTAAGTGTTTCTAAACGTTCTGTTAGAACTTCATTTACATTTCGCACTATTCGAAAGAATGCAATATGTGATTGTGATTATAAAAAAATGTGCGATAGTCAGCAGAATATTTTAAATGATAAACAAGTAACACTTGAAAATGTTGCAGAAAACTTGGAAAGGATACATGTTCATAGTGTAAGCAATATATAAAGTTGCTTTTGTCACTTGTGATTATTTCTTATTGTTATTCAAATAGTTTTGTTTATGATATTGAAATCTTGTATTAATATTTTTGAAGGTATATGAACAAATAGCATCACATTTTAGTGATACACGACACAAGCCTTGGCCTAATGTTGAAAAATTCATACAAACTATACCTGTTGGTGGAATTTTAATTGATGTAGGATGTGGAAATGGAAAATATTTTAAAAGTGGAAGTAGCATAGTACAGGTAAAATTGGATAATAAAGTCTAATGTTATGAATTATTCAAGTCACTTTAAAAAATCATTTAATTTATCATCAAGATTATTAAGTTTTGAAAGCAAAGTTATTTAAAATTATAGATAGGTTGCGATCGAAGTGAAAATCTTTCTTCATTATGCTTTTCTCGTGGATTTCAAGTTTGCACCTGCAATTGCCTTACATTACCATTTCGTGATAACATTGCTGATGCTGCAATTAGTATAGCTGTTATTCATCATTTAGCCAATGAGGTAAAGTACAAAAAATTGAATGAGGATCTGTTATAAATTTCTGGATTAAAATTAAAAGAATATTCATTACATCATTACATCACCATTAAAAGAAAATTCATTACATCATTTGATTAAAAACAAAAAATATAAAAATATTCGCTTACAGGAAAGAAGAATTCAAGCAATACAACAAATTGCTCGCATACTCAAAAAGGATGGAGTTGCTCTTATATATGTATGGGCCAAAAACCAAACGCGACAAAATAAAAAATCTAACTATTTGAAAAAGAATTGTGGTAAGAATTAAAAGTTCAATAAAATCTTATGAATTATTTTTTATAATGAATTACAATTAATATTTTGAAATCTAATGAACTATCAGACTTAAAATTTTGAAGTAAAAAAGTGCTTTTATATAATATATTAAAGCCATATAATATGTATAGATTATGAAAATTAATGAATTTATACCAGATTTTTATTTTACCAATTGTAGATCAAATTGATGATGTAGCTGAATTGAAAATAGAAGATAATGAAACCGATCCAAATAATGTACTCAAACTTCCAATTCACGAAAATAGAACAGAATTCAAGTTTCAAGATATGTTAGTCCCATGGAAGTTAAAGGAATCTAAACAGAGTCAGCAAATAGACCCACCAATATTTTTGCGATATTATCATGTATTCCAAGAAGGTGAATTAGAACAATTATGTACTAAAATTGAAGGAATAATTGTAAAAAAAAGTTTTTATGATCAAGGCAATTGGTGTGTAATTTTAAAGAAAATAATATAAATTTATAATTATTTTATCATATATATTGAAAATAATTTCACATGTGTTAAATAAAAATAAAAATTTGGACAAAAAGAAACCTTCAAATAAATACTTTACATACAATTTATGTTGCATTGGTTAGTTTTTGTGCCTCAAAAAAGTCAATCAGTGTTTTCAAATCATATTTATCCAAGATTTTTGTTAATGATGATATACTATTTTTAACTGTGACTCCTTTAAACTTATGCTGGTCCACATACAAATCGGTTATGATACCTTAAAAATAAAAATAAATTATAATTATATTTATGCTATCAAAATACTTGTTTATAAAATAAAATGTTAACAATTGCTAAGATAGTGGCAATTTCAGAAGTGATTATATCAAAATAGTAGACATAAGTTATGAAAACATGTTGATAAAATAAAACGTTAACAAACAACTTATGATTTTAAGTGATTACAAAAAATTCAATGATATATCAAATCATTAATATATGGGAAACACGGCAAATATATTTACACATATTCTAAACTTCGTTAATATTTATTATTTTTTATCAATTTCATAACTTAATTACGCTATTTAAGAGTTAAAATTATAATAAATTAATTTCAACGTGATATAAAAATTTAATAAAATAAAGAAATACTAATATTTGTTTAAAAAGAAGTTAAAGATAAATGTTTGTTGTGGAAGTATTATGTAAATTATTAGGTTGTCAAATATCTCCCTTCCGCTTTTTTGCTCTTTATTCAAAAGACTCTTTATTCAAAAAGGCGGAAGGGAGATATTTGACAACCTAATATAATAAATTAGTAGCAAATTATATTACCATACAAACGATCCAAAATGGCAGGCTTTCGTTTAGCTTGTTCTCGAATTTCACTCTCCCTTTCTAAAACATCTCTAAATTCCTCTGATAAAGCAAGTACATCATCCTCATTACGAATATCTAATTCATCCAGTGCATCCAATAATGCAATATTTCGTACTAATTCTAACTGAGAATGCAATATTTCATCCATTAATTTTAGAGTATGAGGTATACTATCATCATTGATTGCTGTAAGTAATAATAGTTTATAGTAATTAATTAAGTGAATAACATATTTATACATAAAACATATTCTCAACATAGTAATAAACTATTCACTTAAATTTGCGAAAATAAGGGCATTGGGGTGTACAAAACAAATTTGTAAATCCTAAATTTAAATGATGATAAACAGCATTTTAATGTAGAATGCTTGAACTTTCCATATTTGTGTTACTCAAATTAGATTTTCTGATTTTCATAAAATAAGGCACAAAAATTATATCCAAACAACATGTTCTTATTAACCAATGCATACACTTCAAATAATTTCTTAAAACGTGACCTAAAATTATGTATAACTTCTATAAAATACGCCAATAATTGAAATCATTCACAAATTACTGAATTCAATAGAATCAATATTGCTCACGAGCAACAATGTTATAAAGAAGTTCTCTGTAATGTATGCAATATATATAATGAAATTTAGGATTCGTAATATACACTATTAGAAATAATCTAAGTCCAAGTTTTGTTATGAATGCTTATATTCTTGTAATATATTTTGAATATTACATTTGATGTCTTAATAATTAATAAATTAGAATTTTAGATTTTAAAGAATAAACTAATAGTAATTATATTTACATGTAAATATATAAAAGTAAAAAATTAAAATCCAGCTGCTGATAGAGCAACATTTTCACACATTTTAACAATTTCTTCTTCAACAACAAACTCAGCTGCTAAAATAGCATTTGCAATTGCTATCGTTTCTCTTGTGCTTCTAGCTTTGATCCAAATCTTTCCATTCATACCAGCTGCAATTTCATAAGGATATTCCTTAGCAAGTGCTTTCAGTAAGGGACATTTGGGGTTCAAGATTTTCCGAACCAAATTCAGACTGCAATTAAAAACAAAACCATCTGATACAACTCCTAATTTTCCTTTCTTCCCATGAGAATCAACACAAACTAATTCAGGTTCTAGATCTCTGCTTGCGATGAGTAATTTTGCAAATATTACATCACCTATATTTACATCAGGTCGATTCTTTTTAGTTGCTCCCTCGAAAGCTAAATATGATAACGATGCATGTTCACTAGCTCCTATGTCCACTTTAAAAACATCTCCTCCTTTATTTACAACAGTTCCCAAGACAGTTTCACCTCTACTAGGAATATATCGTTTCTGCTGACAGTCTACCCAATATGTGTTTGGGGATTTTTTTCGTAATATGCCACATTTATTAATTAAAACGGTGTCATTTTCATTGTATAAACCTGGACCTAGTACAACCTTTGTTGTGGATGCACATTTTGGTATGTCAACTGCTATATCACCGGGTAAAACAACATCACCTTCGTGAACTTGCATTATGAAAATCGTTTATATTCAACAAAATGTATATAAAAGTATATAAAAAAAACTTTACAAATCACAATACAATTCATACAAAAATAAATAAATGTTATATTTTCATGTTTCAAGCACACATTTAAGGTTATGTTATGTTGTTTCACGTTACTGTTGACAGCAATCACAGCAATGTTGCAACTGAATAAAAAAATGTTTACGCTTAGTGTTACCAGTTGTGAAGAAATATTTCATATTAAGACCGGAACCCAGGAAGCAACCGGAACCATAGATAAGAAGGTAAGGCCTTAAGACAATTTGCATGAACAACCTGATATATATACGAGGTCTGTTCAAAAAGTACCCGGAATTTTCGTTTTTTCAAAAAAATATTTATTTATTCGTCTACATTAATGTGGTCCCCTTCAAAGTAGTCCCCCCCAGATATAATACACTTATGCCAGCGTTTTTTCCAATTTTCGAAGCACCCTTGATATTCACTTTTTGATATGTCCTTGAGCACTCTCAGCGATTTTCTTCAATCGAGGAAAACCGCCGTCCTTTCATGGGTCTCTTCAACTTTGGGAATAGGAAAAAGTCACACGGAGCCATATCTGGTGATTATGGAGGTTGGGGCATGACTACGGTATTGTTTTTGGCCAAAAAATTACGAACAAGCAACGACGAGTGAGGAATTTTGGAATGAATTTTGCTGCCACTCGTTTCATGCCCAAAACATTTGAAAAAATGTTATGACATGAGCCAATTGATATGCTAACTTCATCAGCAACTTCTCTAATTGTGATTCGGCGATCATTCATAACCATTTTTTCCACTTCTTTCACATTTTCATCGTTTGTTGACGTGCTGGGTCGACCGGAGCGTTCGTCATTTTCAACGTCTTCGCGGCCATCTTGGAAACTTGTTTTTTTCATAGCAGACTCACCATAGGCTTTTTGTAACATTTCACACACTTTGTTACACTTTATTTCATTTTTTACGCAAAATTTAATACAAATTCTTTGACTTTTCAATTCTTCCATTGTAAAAATCGCCGAGCTCAGAAAAACACGTCGAACTTAGCGACTACCACAGACAAAGTAAACAGTGAATATAGCTGAAAATTTCATCATACTTTAGGGGCATGTATACCAACACAATAAAAAAAAAATTTTGACAATCAGACACTCCAGACCCGCGAAATTTAAAAATTCCGGGTACTTTTTGAACACACCTCGTATATATATATATATATATATATATATATATATATATATATATATATATATATAGAATTTTATGATATGAGTGGAACGAATATTAATTGTTTAATATGAACAAAACAGCACTCAGATTTTTTCATCACAACTTTATTTTATTATTACAAACGTTTCGAGACTAATGTAATTTCAATAACAGTTATTTATTACTAAACATTCTTTTTAATATTTTATTTAAAACTAAATTTGGACTTTTTAATATAAAACATCAACTATACCTTGCATTGGCAAGTGACAATTGTTTCAATCAATGCTTGACACACAATGCGTGAAACTGATGATGAGGCACACCTTAGTCTCGAAACGTTTGTAATAATAAAATAAAGTTGTGATAAAAAAATCTGAGTGCTGTTTTGTTCATATTAAACAATTAATATTCGTTCCACTCATATCATAAAATTCTATATATATATATATATATATATATATATATATATATAAATAATCGGCTTTCAATGCGAATTGCTTTTTACCAGCTGTATTTTACCTATTGTTTCAAACGGCAACCAATTAACAGCTACGCAGCGCCATTGCGCTTCCATATTATAACTGTAAGCAGCAACCCAGCGCGATTGCGTTGTCATTTTAGTACGAAAACTTTTGGTAGACAATTTGCTTATATACTACTTATATTTATATAAATTAACATATGTTAACAAACTTAACATATGTTAAGTTTGTTATTTTTTAAATACCCAAATTTTCTGTAGCGTTTTGGGATGTATTATCTGTTAGATAGATAGTAGTCAAACAAATGCAGCAATAAAGCAAATGCAGTGGTTTCCAACCTTTTAGTACCGCGTTCCCCAGTTCTCTTAAAAAAATTTTGATAAAAATTGTTTCACAAATATTCAACTCGTATATATTATAATTTAATTAGCAGACTAGAAATTAATATGCAATATTATGTTAACCCTTTCCACTCGCAAATTCCGAGATTTATATGAATTTTGCCGGCGGAGCGGCGGCATCCAAGTGGGCAGGGTTAAAATATACATAAAAAATAATTGTTTAATCGACATTTTTTTGTATAATCACAAAATTTTTGGTTTATTTTCGAAAATAGCATTTTGGAACCATTTGCACGCCTCACTTGCAGCAACATCACGCTCACCCGAGGAGGCGCGCCCCACAGATTGAAAACCACGGGGTTAATGCATTGTTATTTAATATTTTATAGTTTCTTTCGAAAAGTGAATTTTGCGTTCAAGATTTTTGCGTTATTCTTCTAATTACAAATAGTACGGGAGCCAGCAACGTTTTCGAGCAAGCATTTTAGTCAGGCTGGTTTTTTGGTATGTGGTCCTTGGTGTTCTGTCGGTTAGGGTACGGGCCGTCTGGCAGCTGGAAGTGGTTGCGTTAATTAGTGCGCAGCCAATTTGTACAGCGCGATTTCAAAATTTTGAAAGCATTTTAGTCAGTCCAATTTTCGTTTTTTTGACTTTGAATAGGTTCACCAGACTCAAATTTTTTGTTGCCAGACATTTTGGGCGCTGCTAAATATGTGCCAGACGCCAATTTATTTATTAATTTTTTTAAAAATTCAAATCATTTTAGTCCGTCTGAAATTTTAGTATTATGTTCGTTAAGGGTAAAAACACGTAAAATTAATTCGCCAGACGTTTCTGCGGTTGTTAACCATGTCTGGCAAGCAAAAATGTCTGGCAATATACTAGTTTATAGCATTTTAGTCAGTCCAATTTTCATTTTTTGACTTGATATTTGATTTGATAACTTGAATAAGTTATCCAGTATCACATTTTTGTTGCCAGACATTTTGGTCGCTGCCAAATATGTGCCAGACGCCAATTTATTCATTATTTTTTTTTAAATTTCAAATCATTTTAGTCCGTCTGTAATTTTAATATTATGTTCATTAAGGGTCAAGAAACATAAAATTAATTTGCCAGACGTTTCTGCGGTTGTTAAGCATGTCTGGCAACGAAAAAAGTTTGCCAATATGATACTAGTAGACAGAGTGAGACAATCGCTAAATACATTGGCGCGAATGAAACAAAAAACTATTATACTCGTAAGAGCGCTATTTAAAGTTAGTGCAATTTCAATAACATTTTCATAAAACAAATAAAATAAAGTTAAATAAAGACCTAATTAGAAAAGACAAAGAAATTGCATCATATTAGTCAATTTTTTAATTTTACTAGCTGTAAAAAATATGTTAATGATTCTAAAATATTGCTGTTAATATTTTGAAAAATTTGACTCGACAGTGGTTAAGTAACATCGTCAATTTCCTAAGAATATCATATATTTTAAGTTTTGCAATGAGAACTGACAATAATCATTTTGCTGTACGCAATTTTTTTTTTATCACTAAGTTAACTGAGTCGAATGACTTCATTTTACATGATACATGTAATATTATTGGTACATGTACATATTACATGGCTTTAGCAGCAACTAATTGTAACACATACCTATACTTAATACCATAGCTGGGCATTAACTCGTTAATCCGTTAATCGTTAATTAACGAAGTTAACATTTTGATTAACGGATTAACTTTTAAAAATGTTAACGGACACGTTAACTTCCGTTAAAATGCGAGAAGTCCGTTAATCGTTAATCCAATGCCTACTATTTACCGCACGGCATAGCTTTAGCCAATGCCTTATTAAACGGCATAGAGAAAAGATTTGGACTACTCCTGAATGATGAACAGTGCCAACTTGCCGCGGCATTTCACCCAAAGTTTCGGTTAATGTGGTTGGAAACGTATGACAGCAGTAGAGAGGAATGCAGAAACTATAAACTATTGGACAAAAAATTAATTTTTTTTTGAAAAAAAAAAGGTTTTCTTTAATTTGACATATTTTGGAAGATCTGAACTTTTTTTCAAAGCAATTTTACTGCTTTAGGACTGCATAGAGACAAAATATAAAGCGCGTAAGCGCCGCGTCGCTGTCTAAAGGATAAACATTAGTACGGAACCCATAGGAAAGTAAATAAAATTTATACTTAATGTTAAAATCTCTATAAAATATCTGATAATTTGATGTGCATATGTCTAATGATCATTTTGACCGCCAAATGGCATTTTTTTTTACTTTTTTCATTAGATCTCTGAAACCGCTAGACCTGCCTTCATGAAAAATTGATCAGTTCTTCATAATTGTCAATACAAGTAAAATGTTGTTTGAATTATTAAAATCGGACGCTCCGTTCTCTTAAAAACTGAGTTACCGTTTTTGGCTCAATTTTGCCCCATATCTTCGGAACGGCTAGACCTGCCTTTGCCAAAAACTGATCAGCACGTCTTCTTATCAATACGAATCGAATGTTTTTTGAATTATTCAAATCGGTTGATCCGTGTTCCCGAAATCGTCGACGAAAATTTGTATCCGAATACACATACATACACACACACATACATCCATTTTTTCTAAGGTATGCCAAAATATTCAAAAACCTTTGAAACGTCGAGAAATGCAAAAATTTTCATTTTCGATTTTTTTGCGATTACTATAACTTGCCCTACGGGAAGTTAAAAAAACTCTTTCCCTTTATTTAGAAAAAAATTCTTGTAAAAACAATATGCAATCATAAAAACGGAAAGTTGACCAATAGCGTTATCACGGTATGTGATAATTGTGCCATTTCCTTATACACACGGAAGTGTGCATAAAACGCGCGAGGGGTTAAATTACACATTTGAATTATACAAGTATGTATTTTGTTTTATTCATAACCTGTTAACTTCCAGAATCTAAACTAATAAGTTTTTTAAGTTCACTAACGCAACGATATAAAAATGTAATTTTACACATATTAACGGATTAACGATTAACGTTAACTTGCGTTAATTCTTCCGAAATGTAACGCTTTAAC